ACTTTTCCAGAGGAAGAAGAAAAGATCATATTTAAACTATAAGAATTTTAAAAAATACTGTTCAGACTGGCTGTTGGTGATAGTTTTGATTTACTATGTTTCTAGCCAGTGGCAATCCTTTTATAGATTTCATGAAAAATGAAAATGCAGTTAAAATGAAGTAGAAACGGTAACTTAATATTTTAAACATTCTAGTTAGGTTATTTGGTAACATTTACTAATTACTTGTTATGTTTAAGCTCCTGATATCAGTTTTTAGAATTACTATAATTTCAGAAACTCAGCTACATTTTTGGGGGGTATGTTTTACTTGTTCTAAATTTTAGGCTCTGATTTCCACACACACCCCCATCCCAAATTTAGAGGCGACATATATTTATTAATACTGCTTTCTACCGTCTCCATCATAATATATGTAACCTCTTCTTTAATTGTGTTGATTACTTAAATGGCACAAGTATTTTAAAGTGCATTATTGAATTTTAAAGCTCTCTTTATAATAGACACTAACACCAAACAATAAAGCCAACTGCAAGAAAAATTACTTTCAGTGACTGGGATAGATTTCAGCTATAGATATGAAAAGATAAGCACGTAATCCAATGTGATGACTCACATTAAGGCATATGTGCAGTTTTCTCCTGAAATTAAAAAATAAAGTGGTTTTTGGCATGATTTAAAAAAAAAAATCGCACTTAAGGAAGCCTACCAATCAATCTCCTTTAGGCACTAGCTTTTTCTATAATTATAAATTTAACAGGCAGCCTGAGGTCTAATGTTACAAACAACTGCAATGTTTAACAAGGGGGGAGCTGGATCGATGTCTTGGCAGACGTACTTGAATTTGATAGAAGCTCAGGAATGAACACCGATGTTTTGCACCTGCCAGAGCGAGCTTTTCACCCGTCCCGTTCCTCCTCCTCTTTTGCAGTGAAGAGGAGCTAATTTATCAGGGGAGTGGAGAAAAACCACACTGGGGAGAGTCACCAGGGACTGGAGGAGGTGACAGGGGTTGGATGGTATTTTAGGGGAGCCAGGGGTTATATGGGTGGTAGGATTGAATAACAAAGGCTCAGCTGGGGGATTGGGCCTCAAGAGCTGGGGGCTTGGGTGGCAGAGGACAGGGAATTTCCAGACAGGCACAGCCAAGCAAGCACAACGAAAGAGAACAGGTTGTGATCGGATTGTGTTTAGTAATCTTTGATGGTTTTCCTGTCTGTTCTGCCTGTAGGATAAATAGCACTTAGCAGAAACTCAGGGTGGTGGCAACAGGTTGTTGCTTGTACCAAAAGGTTGGACCCCCTCTCCTCTTAGTGCCACATGCAGAAGGTCTTAGGGAACTTCTGGGACTCCTAAAATGAATGTTTCACGTGATTCCAAATTTCTAACCATCCCAACAAACTACCAGACCTTACAAATAGTAAAATTTATTTTTTGTAGATAATTGTGGTCATTCTTAATTTCCAACATAATTGTTTCCTATTTTTCACAATGACATAATTAAGTTCCTTTGTGGTGCAACATGCATGAACATGGATAGTGTTGAAAAAAAGTGACAAACATTACCAGTTTAGCTATTTGCTTTAAATTAGTCAAGTTTAAAAACAAGGCAACCCAAATATCAGTGTATCTCACAGACATCTTATAGACATCTCACATTATCTTAGAAATATCTCATTGCATTTTATTTTTATTGGAATAAGATGGACTTTCCTTTATACATTTTGGCCACATATTTATTTGGCTAACCAAGCAGGGGGGGAATTATCCTGCAAAAGATGCTTTTCTTTAAAAAACTCCTACATAAAACTCCTAGATAATCTTTCTTTTTCCCAAGAAAGGATCTGAAATATAGTATCTCTATGATCTAATTCACTGAAAATACATTAAAATTTTATTACAAATATCTTATAAAAACAAATTTTAAAAGTTATGGAAATGTGTACATAAGGTGATAAAAATATATGTAAAAGATCTTCACTGATGCGTTGAAATAGAGAAGTAAAAACAATCTCGATGCCCATTCAATAGGGACTAATGAAGTAAAGTATAGTCCCACAATGGAATATGTAGTAATTTACAAAAGAATGAGGTAAATCTATTTAAACACTTATGGGAAGGTGTCTACTAATGTATAATAAAACGAAAAAATAGTCACAGGACATTAAGACTACTGTCCTATTTGTATAAAACTAATACACATGGACATATACAAACACACTTGTATATATGCACAAAGTTTCTAGAAGGACATATATCAAAACATTAACAGTGGTTACCCCTAGAAAATAAGGGGTGGGCTAGAGCAGTTGAATTTGCATTTTATAATTCTATATGGTTTGATTTTTTAAAAGGAATATATATTACATTTACAATAAAAATGACAAGCTTTGGATAGAACAATATTTATTTTATGTGTGCATTTCTTTTTCTAAAGTAGCTTTTAGAATTTATCCCAAAAGTTACTAGTGTTTTACTTTCCATGTTGGCACTAACATATAAATAATCCTTCTTATTTTCTTCTTTCTTTTTAAGATCTTGATGATGCTTAGTAAAAACATTCACAAATTATTACTTTAAGTCATTATCAGGGAAAGGCCTAATGTATACCAACTTTGAAAGATAAAAATGTATACATTAATTAAAAAAATCTATGCAATAGAAAAATGAAAATCCTGTGCAACACTGTGACAGTATCTCAAGCATTGATGACAGAACCTTCGACGATGACAGACGCCATTTTGTAATTGGAAAATTGGAACGTTTCCAAATAATATAAAGGTATCTCCAAAAGATAAGTTATTCAAAGGAAGGAATAAAAATCCCTGAGTAAGTCAAAGACAAGATACACAATAACCTAAGAAAATAGATTATCTAAGACCAGAGAGTATATTATTTAGCTACTTGGTTTATATGTATGTGGAGTTCGTGTTTATATGCAGCTATGGAAATAGCAGATACATGTGTATGTAGATTGACAAATACATATCCATACACATATCATACATAAACATATCCACTAGATTTAGAGTTCATTGCACTCACATATTGTCGAACTAATACCTAAGTCCAGAAAAACATGAATTTACGAAAATTAAGCACTCTCATGACAGACTTACATGGATTTAGGATAGAAATTTTCATTCTCTTGTTTTAATACTAGAGCACAAAGAATAGGCACTGAAAAATGTTTGTTGGATGGATGGATGAGTGGTAAGATGAATCTGTGAAATTAGAGCATCTCTTCTCCTTGCATTGTGTCATGTTTAGAAACATGCCATCAGAGAACCATAAATGGCACGCCCTCCTCTAACTGAATGTAGACGAGTCCAGAAACTGCAGCACAGCCATTCTGAGTGTGATCCAGAAAGAACAGACACTCACTATCCTTGCAAGTAACCTTCACTAGCGTGGACTTTTGTGGTCTGATAAAGATGATAAATGTTTTTCTTCGGAGCCCAACAAGACAAACTATCCATGTTAATAATGCATGTTTTATCACAGAATTTATTACCATTCAGATAAGGCTGCTGAAAAATAAATGCTACATCTATGCAGATAGCTCATCTTAAGGATTTGGAGACAAGTGGAAACTTCAGGCTTCTTAGTGCTCTTTATGTCCATTCTGCTGAACTTCCATGATGAAAACAAAGGAATAGTTTGTTAAGTTTAGTTGCTTTTCTTTTTCTTATTTTTAAAGACGTCTCAGTTTGGTAAAACTTCCTGAAGATATTTCCTTCATTTTTCCAAAAGTTGTTTCTATTTTAGATAAACCCATGAACACAAAAAACTGTGTTTTTAAATTACCCCATCCATAAGAAGGTATCAGCATATTTGATAGTCTTTGAGCAGTAAACATAAGAAAAACCCTTCAAAACTGTATTTTTTTTTTTTAATGAAAATCTTGGGGACAGATAAAAAGATAGAAGAGAGAGAGAGAAAGAGAGAAGAGGTAAGAGGGCAGGGTTTCCAAAACTATCACAAATTGACCTAAAGCAGAATTATTGGTAATTACAAGTTGATTAAAAAATTAGCAGAACAGTGATTGTTTAAAGGCTTAAGCAGTTCTTGCTACAGCAAATTTGTTTTTTAAATTAACTAGTCCCGTCTGAAGGATTTGTTCATTTAGTAAAACATGGATGCCAAAACATAAAAAATCTGAAAAGACTAAACGTCTGGTCTTGAGCAGCCTACCAGTTTCGTCACTTAATAAAGTCTGATGATCCTCGAGGTGACCTTGCACAAATTTCTGGTGTGTGTGCCTGTGTGTGAGACAGAGAGACAGCAAGGAATCGAAAGGGCCAACATCAAAATAGCCTGTTGTCTACATTGGCTTTAATTCAGTACATTACCAAAATACGCCCAGAAAGGAACGATCATCTTTAAATATGTCTATGAAAATGTGGAAAAATAGCGTAGAGGCATAGAACTCGACAAGTACAAGATTATTGGACCTAGTTTTAATACAGATACTTATACACACACACTCACACCCCTGCACAGATACACGTCAGTAACTCATGATTCTTCTCATTAGTTTTGTTTCACTAGTTCCCTTTTGAGCAGTGAGATTTTTAACAATTAAAGCATCCGAAGGATGAAGGAATTATACTGCTCGGGCCACAGATAAAAACAGGTGCATATGGTGAGCCTCTGTCTTCTGAAAAGTGGCCTTGCTTGTTTGTACAGGTGGGATGATTTCCGCTATTCACACCAAGTCTCAGAAGAGGGCCTGGAAGGAGGTTTAGGTATAAAGACTGTCCAAACAACGCTCAGGAGAGGCATGCTCAGACAATTCTGAGGATACCTGGTTCTTAATGAAAATATTTTCTTCCAAAAACCAGTAAGAAGGTCAGAGTTATGATACAGATATTTATAGTCTATGAAAGTGACCATTTTTGAAAAGCAGCAAACTGTATAAGGAAAGGAGTCAGGATACCATGGAGGGAGTGCACTGGAGCGAGAGGCACTGTGGCCTGCAGACAACCACGGGGCGGGGCGGGGCGGGGGGGGGGGGGGGGGGGGGGGACGGGACTCAGTGTTTTTCAAGACATGAGTCTCAGATGAGTGTGCCATTCTGTGTGGCTCCTACCCGGACCGGCTTCGTTCCACGAAATCATCCGCATTTTACCAGTGCATTCCTGTCCGTGATCGCTTTCTCTGTTTTTTACAAAGGCAATAGATAGGAAATACAAATAAACCTGAGGATAAAAAAAGATGAAAGGTAATTAGGAGGAGAGGCATTTAGGTCTATATATTTGAAAAGTTTCCATTTTCCATTTTTCATTTTGCAGTCATTTACAAATGATTGCTACTTAGCAAAACGTGTGGATGAAGGCGGGGAGACACCTACACTATGAAATGGATTTACTCCTATAAGATGTCATTCCATGTTAGTTTTCTGGAGTTCTCTCCCCCTTTGAACAACCTCTCTGACACCAGTTTGAATATGGAATCATTCTTCTATCAAAATACACAGTCTTAGGTTGATCTTCTTTATTATCCCTAGTCGTACCATTTGCACCCTGATGGGATACTTCAGTCTCGGGCAGGACAGCACATTACTTAGGAACATGGGCTGTAGAGCCAAATGCCAGGTTCGAGTCACTGTTCTGACACATATGAGGTCCTAGTAAGCCTTATTTCCTCCATAGTAAAATGTAAATAATAACAGTATCTACTTCCTAAAATACTTCCTAAATTGTAAGAACTTAAATGTCAGTTACTTTATAATTTTATCTGTCCTGTACATGTAAATTACTTGCTCAATAGAAATTTACATACAAAAATTTATTTTATTTAGAAAAGAAAAAGAAATCCCACCTATTATGTAGAACAGTCATCAAAGCAATCTTTATCTATAGTGTTTAATTCAAAATTCTCTAAAGCAATGGTTCTCAAAGTCTGGGGTCCCTGGACCAGTGGCATGAGTATCACCTGGGAACTTCTTAGAACTGGAAATCCATGGGCCCTGCCCCTATATGGAGTCAGAAACTGAGAGTAGAAACCAGGAACCTGTGTTTTAACCAGTCCTCAAGGTTATTCTACAACATGCTGGAGCATGAGGACCACTGTTTTAAAACACATATTTCAGTAGACTTGTATGAATGAAACTATACGGAATCACTCATACATTTTCTGTTTGCCAGTGCTGAAGTATATGTTGGGTATAAGTTCCTATTCATGTTGAAGGTATCTTTTTTACCCAGGGTACACTTTCACTAGAACAAACCAATTATACAAGGGTATACCGGAGTCTTTTTTCTTGGTGGTCCAACCTAAACCCAGAATCAGAAAATCTGGGTTCCAGTCCATTAGACTCTATCATTAAACTACTTGTTGTATTAACTTTCATATTAAAAGGGAATTAATAATGCTTTATAAGATAAATGAATCAAAGTCTTTACAGACTGCAAAAGTGTTACACAAATACATCCTATATGAAATACACCCTCTGAATCCATAAATCACGTGCTGATTGCTCATCTAAAGCAAGCATGGAACAGATATGTCCACTTAGTAACTGACTCATGTTACTACATTTACACTCATATTTTCTCTACAGCACTCAAAAGATTCTAATCTCAGATATGTTAAGTGCTTCTTACCGATTACAACTGCTATGGCCCCTAGTGCTAATCCCAAGACCAGGATTAGAGGTGCAACGAATAATTTTCCAGCTGGAAAACAAAAGGCAAGACCATTTAGAGTCTTAAAACTAATTTATCAAACAGTTTCAGCAATGCTTTTTAATACCACAGTGTACATTGTTTTTTAAGAAGTGTGATTATAATTAAGGCAATATTTCTCTTAGGAAATGGATCAGGTGTAGAACAAATATACTTATGTAAATTCAGTAACTCCACAGAAGTCCTGGGGACATTAGTCAAACATTTCATAAATCACTTAAACTTTCTAACCAAAAAAATTCCAGTGTTAGTGGTTCACTTTATTCTACCAGGACCATTCATCTTGGTGTTTTTCCTTTAGATCTCTGTCATTTTTCAAGATTCTGAAAGATTAATAAGGGAGTGACAGACTCTGAGTTGGCAGAAGAAAATCTAATTAGCTCACAAAATGGAAAGCTAATAGGTGCTATAGACGGCTTACATCTAAGCCCATATCTGAAAAAGTGATTTAGTTACTTCCTGGGTCCAAAGAAGAGTAATAATATGAAGACCTAACCAGCTGAACTACAACTGGGATGCTTAAATATTGTTATGGAGCTCCTGGTGGCTCAGTTCGTTAAGCATCTGACTCTTGATTTCAGCTGAGGTCATCATCTCAGGGTCCTGGAATCCAGCCCCACATCCAGCTCTGTGCACAGCCAGGAATCTGCTTGAGGATTCTCTCTCTCCCCCACTCTCTCCCCCTGTCAGTGCTCTCTCTCTTTCTCTCTTTTTTTTTTTAAGATTTTATTTATTTATTTGATGGACAGAGATCACAAGTAGGCAGAGAGAGAAGAGGAAGCAGGCTCCCTGCTGAGCAGGGAGCCCGATGTGGGGCTTGATCCCAGGACCCTGGGATCATGACCTGAGCCGAAGGCAGAGGCTTTAACCACTGAGCCACCCAGGCGCCCCTGCTCTTGCTCTCTTAATAAATAAATAAATAAATAAATAAATAAATATCTTTAAAAATAGAAATAGATAAATATTATTAGAGAAAATTACCAATAAACATACAGTATATTTAAGGTTATTCAAATGAATCATTTTAATAAATTCAGAGAAAAAACTGATACTGCCAGAGAGGAGGGGGTAAGGGAGATGGACAAAATGGGTGAAGGGGAGAGGGCAATATAGGCTTCCAATTATGGAATGAATTAAGTTACTGGGATAAAAGGCAGAGCATAGGGTATATAGGCGGTGATATTGTAATGGCGTATGGTGGCAGATGGTAGCTATCCATGTGGGGAGCACAGCATAATGTACAGAGAAATTGAATCACTGTATTGTATACCCAAAACTAATGTAACATTGCATGTCAACTAGAGTAAAAAATAAAACATAAATTGGAAGGTCTGCATTGGTCTCATGGAAAAAATAAAATGTGAGAAAAATAAAAGAAAGCACTTATAAGAAAGCTACGTGCTGGTCAGGTGGCCAAAGGATGGCATCAACCAGCACTTTTTTTTCTGAATAAATAGCTGAGGAGCGATTATACTAAATGCTGGTTTCATGTAAACAGGGCACAGAGTTCACAGTCAGATTTCCACTCACTTTGAAAGGCACAGCACACGCAGAAAGAGGATAGTAGTTAGTATCTTGTCATCATATAGTGACCTTGACCTTAAGGCATGGGAACAGCTGCACCACTCAAACACAACAAGAGATGAGAAGGAGTGGAAGGGCTTTGCCATTTAAGGATACACCAGCAACAGCGTTCTACAATTAAGGACAGTAATTTGGAATAAGCAATTAGATTTAAAAAAAGAAAAAAGAAACATAATGCTGTCATTTGTTGGAAGTTTGTCAGAAAAGTCTTAATTTTTTTATGTTTAAGGAATGGTCTTTGGAATCCTGACCAGACAGCTAGAAAATACAGTCTTTAATATCTAATTTAAAAAGATGACTATTTAAATGTCTAACCATGGGATTTATTTATATTTTTTGCCAATGACAGAATCCAGTTAAGTATTATGAACTCTTTTTTTTTTCAAAAGATTTTATTTATTCATTTAACAGGGAGAGAGAGAGACCACAAGAACAGGGAGCAGCAGGCAGAGGGAGAGGTCGAAGCAGGCTCCCTGCTCCCCATGGAGCAGGGAGCCTTATGCAGGGCTTAATGCCAGGACTCTGAGAACATGACCCGAGCTGGAGACATATACTTAATTGACTGAGCCACCCAGGCACCTCAGTAATATGAAATCTTATTGAACAATGACATTTTTTACATTCTTAAAGCTGTGCTTAAGAGAGTTTTAGAATATATTGGCCTGGATATTTTATTTTTATTTTTTATTTTTATTTTTTAAGAGGTTTATTTATTTATTCTAGAGAGAGACAGAGAGAACAGGGAGGGGCTGAGAGAGATGGAGACAAGTAGACTCCCTATTGAGCGGGGAGCCCACCTCAGAGCTTGATCCCAGGACCCTGAGATCATGACCTGAGCTGAAATCAAGAGTTGGATGCTTAACCAACTGAGCCACCCAGGAGCCCCTGGTCTGCATATTTTTAAAAAAATCTGTTTTTTCCTGTACCCATTGCTCAGTATAATCATTCATGTTTCCTTTTAAAATAATTAATATATTTTAATAATAATAATGAAACATGATTGCAGAGTAACAGAACTAATTTTTTTTTTCTCTAAGTATCAGAAAACTCAAAGAACCAATGAGCTTTTTCTTTGGGAAGTAATAAACTTATTCCAATCATATAATCAATGTTTAATACATGTTTAATTTTACTTTTGAAACTGTTTTGAGGAATTAAGCACATCTTCTTTTATTCCTAGATTATTAACAATTCATTTAAAATACTATTCTCAATAGCTGAAATAATATTCTATTATATCCATATATATCTTACTTAAGTATTCATGTATTTAATTTTGTTCCTTTTCTTTGCTATTTTAAAATATACCTGCAAATAAACCACTGTCAGTCTAGATTTATCATTTTTTTAAAAGATTTTGTTTATTTACTTGACAGACAGAGATCACAAATAGGCAGAGAGGCAGGCAGAGAGAGAGGAGGAAGCAGGCTCCCCGCAGAGCAGAGAGCCCGATGTGGGGCTTGATCCCAGGACCCTGGGATCATGACCTGAGCCGAAGGCAGAGGCTTTAACACACTGAGCCACCCAGGCACCCCTAGATTTATCATATTTTAAAATATCCTTCACCTTACTATCCAATTTCTTTGCCAAAGAATTGCACAGAATTTCTAATTCATTCAGTAGGGTATGAAAGTCCAGCATTGAGTATTAACAAAAAAGTTTGCTAATCAATAGTTCAAAAAAACTCTTTTTAATTTACATTTCTCTGCCTACTAATAGCATTGAATATTTTAAAAAATGTTTATTGGCTACTTGCATTTTTTCAATTTTGGTTCCAGACTTCATTATTTTAAAAAAATTGGATATTTATTTTTGGAGGAGATTCTAGTGCTTTTGTTCATATAAACTATCTGCCACTTAGAAATCAGTTAAAGACCTATATTTTCTTTCCTATTATACCCTTTAACATAACACTTTGAGCATCTGTATGTCATGGTATGAGAATTCAGTACTTCTCCATCACTTTTATTCGCAACACCATTCATTGAATAATCTGCCTACTCCCACCAGGGGGATGCCCCCATGTCAGAAGCTGCTAAACCCATCCTCAAATCTCTGTTCTCCCTTGTTCTTTAAGAGTAGAACCTCTGATGCATAGGTGGGCACACAGTCACATGGAATACAAACCATGTTTCCCATCTTCCAGCTGTGAGAGCAGAGCAGGCACTTTCTCTGCCTCTGTCCAAGGACATGTGGAGGCTGCGGTCCCAAATGGAGGGAGCAAACTGGGTTATGTCCCATGAAAACAAAGTGCCTACACTTTACTAGGGCTTTGCTATCAGCCACATTCTCTCTTATATGGCAGGGAGAAGCTAAGTTTGTGACTTACAGAGTCATTCCTTTTCCAGCCTTTTGTGTGGCTGGGAGAGGTGTGGACCACCTTATTTGGAGTTATGGTCCAACAGCAGTTAGAGACAGCCATACGGGAGGTGGGAAAGTAGGTGTGGGAGGGAGAGCTTCTCGGAAAGCCAGCTGCTCCCTACTCGTCAGGTTTGTCCCGACACACAGGTGCATGCACACACACAGTAGAAAAGAGGCCCCAAAGGAAACCATTTACAGAAATCTGACCATAAAATTTTAAATAAAAACAGAAGAAACTGTGCAGAGAAGATATTCCCTCCTGACAATGTTCACTGGCTGTGCATTTTATAGGCCATTAAATAACTCAACTCCTATTTTATGACCCAAGAAGAGGATTCTAGTGGCCTCCAGGCAAATAAGATGACCCAAGGAGAATGTATCCAAAATATTACTGGACAAAAAAGGCAAGAAATAACTTCCCTTATTTAAGAGTGATTAAACCAAATAACAAAAAGGGAAAAATGATGATCAAATAAGAGATTATTAAAATAAAAAATGGAAGGAAACATCTTATCACAAAATGTCACTGAAGTAGGAAAAAAAACTAGTAATACAGAAAATATAAGAATTTTGTATTTTTTTGGTTGTTCTCTGTATATAGTCTTACAAATAGGTTATAGCTCAAAACTTAATTTGCAATTTAGTATCCTCATGGTAGTAATGTTATAAATAGGCATTAGATTCCCTAGATATCCCTCCAAACTCTATTTAATAAGTAAATATTGGGCATACAATTATAATACATACAAACAAATAAACAGCAAATATATATACTACAAGCAAGTAAACAGGAAAACATTGAAAATCATTAAAACCAATCTTGACTATATTAAATGCTATTGGTTGTGAGCAATTACATTTAATTAAAGGTCAACAAGGATATTTTCATAGAGATCATACAAGATTTTAGAAAATGATGGCACTGGTTTCCATAAGTTAAGATGAATTTTAAAATATATGTTCTATCTTTTACCTAAAAGAAATGCACCATTAGCACCAGCTTTGTTCTGATTCGCCATCATATGATTCTAGTAAGGTGAGAGGTCTACAATAATAATAAAGTGATAGAGGCTTAAAGAGAGATAAAAAGAGATTTTCATGAAGTAACTAGGCAAAAGTAGGCAGAAAATGGGAAATGTGGAAGATGTTTGCACATATATGAGAAAGACTCTCGGAGGAGGAAGTATTGAAGTTTTGTGTAATGGAATAGAGAGAAGAAACCTCACAGTGGATACATTCCAGAGAAGTAGGGAGCTAATGGAGGAAGACGTATCAGGTCAGAAGAACTCTTATCACACAAAGGTGGTGGCATCAGCCCAGAGCAGGAAATCTGGGTTTATGTTTGCATATTTGTGTATGAGACCATGTGTTGTTGAGGACAAAGAAGGGGGTAAAAACTTAAAGCATAAAGGCATCACATTTGGATATTTAAACTTGGGTTTGTATGTAATGAGGGCATTTGATACTCACTTCGTTAACTGTTAGCTACTATATTAACTATTATTACAGTAGGAACATACATACAACGGCATTGACTATATAGATACAATAAGAATCCAGCACAAGGCTCTGAAACATGGGGATTTTTATTTATTTTAGTTTTAAATTTTATTGATTGATTGAGAGGTGGGGCAGGAGAGACTCACATGCACTAGAGAGCAGGGAGGGGGGAGCAGAGGAAGAGGGAGAACAGAGAATCCTAAGCAGGCTTGATCTCACCACCCTGAGATCATGACCTGAGCCAAAATCAAGAGTCCAAGGCTTAACCAGCTGAGCCACCCTGGTGCCCCATAGGGATTTTCAAAAACTGTATTGCACGTCCTCCATGAATGGAGTATATGTGTATAACAACTTGCTAGGTATTGTCAACAGAAAAATAAATGTGACATGGTCCCTCTCATCAAGTGGCTTACAATAAGGCTTCAGAAATTTAAAAAATGAATTTACATTTCTGCAGTATAATAAATAATTTGTTTTTCAAATAAAATCTGCTTGCTCGTATAAGTTGTGTCTAGCCACCAAATTTAAATTTCCATTCCAAACTCAAAAGTAGAGAAAATATCTTCCTCCTGTTTTTGGGTAAAGTCCCCCACGAGAATACCTGGTGGGTGCTCAGAATTATCATGGCTAATACATTGAATTCTCTTATCATCGCTTACTTCCCAGAAAACATTCCTATAAAGCATGTCAGATACTCACCACAGACTGACCCTCGCACTAATCTCCTTAGATGAGGTCTCTCTGGGAGGTAGCGATATTTGCAGCCAAATATACTGAGGTTTGATGTGTGGTCTCCAAAGAAACGGAGTTGGCGGTATCTTTCCCCACATCGATAACAAAAATTAGTGTTACATTGTGAGCAGGTCATATGGTCACATCCTTCAGTTCTCTGGATGTGGATCTGTATTGACGACAGAGGAAAAGACAGGAAAAAGTTATTATATATTTTTACAAGTGAAATCTGGCAAGTGTTATCGAACAAACAATTTCCACCAAAACAAAAGCCTTCCACAGCAGTTTACTTACAATCACACTGTGCAAGATTGTGTTTGTATCAGATACTCTAATGTATAAATCTCAGTAACATTCAGGTACTCAAGCTGTGGCTCATTTTGTCCAACTTATAAACAGGCATATCCCAAAGAAAACCCACTTATCTCTCTAGACATACACCTAACTCAGTGGTTAGGAGGCAATTTAAAATGCTGTGAAAGTATATTTTGTTTATGCTATGATCAACAAGAATGAGGTGATTTGAGGAATGAGAAGAGATGAAGAATATTCCTTAAAAGAAAGGATCATGTAAAACTCTGTGTGCATAATTAGAAAGGCACAGAAATCTTTCTTTTTTCAAAAAATTTTATTTCTAAGTAAACTGTACACCCAACATGGGGCTCAAACTCACAACCCCTTGAGATCAAGAGTCACACGCTCTATGGACTGAACCAGTCAGGCACCCTGAATAGGAGTCCTTCTTTGGGGAAGAAAATGATAGCAGCTGTAAGTGTATTCACAATAACATTTCAGTTTCCAATTCTAATGTCATTCGCAAGTATGTTTTTGGGACTGTTTATACAATGCCTTCTGTTAAACTCAGCGTTTTCCTCTATTGTTGCAGTCAAGTTACATGTAAGCAGAGCTTCACCCATAATGTAATAAGAACTGTACTCCCACAGTCTACCAGGTACCCAGCATGGGGGGTCACTGTCTCAAGCACTGGGACCATGTTACAATAAAGATATATTCCTTGGGGCACCTGGGTGGCTCAGTCATTAAGCGTCTGCCTTTGGCTTGGGTCATGATCCCAGAGTCCTGGGATCAAGCCCCACGTTGGGCTCCCTGCTCAGTGGGGAGTCTGTTTCTTCCTCTCCCACTCCCCCTGCTTGTGTGCAGGCTCTCTCTCTCTCTCAATCTCTCTGTGTCTCTCTGTCAAATAAATAAAATCTTAAAAAAAAGATATTGTTCCTTGAGACATAATTGGATACTTGGCTCAGAATCTTTATGGACACTGTACGTAAACTGGGGCCATCTTTCATTCAAGTATATGCACCCTTTGTTAGGTGAATTGCCATGAAAGAGAACTTAACACTACTTCATAAAAAAAGAAAAAGATTTGGTTACACTGTCTAACCCTTATGTTAGGTTAAAACCCATTTCACTATAGAATAGGCATTTGCTACATTCAAGTCACATCCCACTCATTCTTGTTTATTTATATATTTATTATTTATATATTAGTTCTTTGCTTAGAAAATGTATTCAAAATGTCCCCAATACCTTTCTGACTATTGTAATTTCTACCCATGACTTTGCTTGGGGATGAGTGTGTCAGCGAGTATTTAATGTAATTGGGAATTTCACAACATGTGCGTCAAACCCACCACTGGTTGCCTCTTTTTAGTGAAGCCCTGGTTGCAGTCCACAACTTGCCACAATTTTAAAAGAGTAAATTCTACACCCAGCGTGGGGCTTGAACTCATGACCTTGGGAGTTATATGCTCTACCACCTGAGCCAGCCAGGTTCCCCCAACTCTACACATTTCATTTAAAATCCTACTCTCCTTCCCCTGATACACAAGGTAGTTCCCTGAACTTCAATAGTACAGTTATATATTTATATTTTTCAAAAGCTTCTCAACAATTATGGAAATGAGATCAAATCATCCAGGAAAAAGAGAAGATGTTTAATGTGAAAAGAGAAATTTCAAAGTTGGGAGATAAAGAAAGTTATCCATTATAAAATATGACCTTATTTCATAGTTTTTGAAAAGAAAAATTTTGAAATTGCTAACTCCAAATCATATGCAGTATTTCAGTTTTAGTGATTTAATAACCAAAATTTTGAACTTCACTTTAAAAGAACAATATGAATTTTTAGAAGGACTTCTGAGGGTGCTTTTAAAATAACAGTACATAGTAATCATAGTAATGGTGAAAGTTTCATTTGATAATACACATATTTGTGAATCCATCCTCTATCCATCTATCCATCCATCCACCTACCATCCGTCCATCTACCTACCTACCTACCTACCTACCAGTCTACCTACTGGAGAGTTTCTAGGTGACGATGACTATTTTGAGGAAGTAATAACTAAACAAAGGGCAGTACAATGACTGCCACCATAGCAGGCACTTAATAAATGATAACTGAATGAACTGAGAAAGAAAAGTGTCCTAAGTGGTTGGCAGGACATTCGGTACTGAAGATCATTAGGCTGATTATAGGTTAAATGTCCTTTCCCACCCAGTGGCTGACTCTTGGCAGGTAAGCCTTAACTCATAGGGAGGTAGAAAAAATCTGGGCTTTGACTTCACGAAGCCCTGTGTTTGAATTCTGGCTCCACAAGCTATATAGAAAGAGGTTACTTCTTGCTTTGATTTAGATAATGTTACTTACATGAGAAAAAAAATGTGATAACATATATATGGTGCCTAACCCATTGTTGGGCACTTACATAGTCAGATCAATATAATATTGATTCCATCTATCCCTTTCCCTTTCCCCACCTAAAAATGTGAGAAATCCAGTGCCTGATAAATGTAACTGCATACCCTCTGACCGCTAGGTGGTCCCCATTCCTGTGTTTTCATATGGGTAATTCTTGGTTGATGCTAAACTAGAGAGTGCCTTCCTAGGCAAGGACTAGTTTGTGGTCAGGTGCATATGAACATCTCTGGTCCAGGGTTACTAACAAATCCTTATGGGCCAATAGAAGCAAAACTTGTTTTTCCTGCTATTGGCCACTTCATCTTTTTAAATTATATTAATTTTTTTTCTTTTACCTGACAGTCCAGTAAGAGTGAATCCAGATTTTGTGGGACCTGAAGATTATCCAATTTGAGGGGCCCTCTTAAAGGAGAAGAATGTAAATTACAAGTACAGTTGACCCTTGAACAACAGGAAGGTTAGGGGCAATGACCCCCCCTGCAGTAAAAAATCTGCCTGTAACTTTTGACTCCCCCCAAAATTTGCTAATAGCCTACTGTTGACTAAAAATCTTACTGATAACATAAACAGTTGATTAACACATTTTTTATATATTTTATATATTATATGCTGTATTCTTACAATAAAGTAAGCTATAGAAGAGAAAATGTTACTAAGAAAATCACAAGAAAGAAAAAATACATTTACAGTGAATCTGCATAGTTCAAACCTATGTTGTTCAAGAGCCAACTGTACAAGTTAAATACAAGGCCTAAGAAGGGGCTTGTATAGGTGAGGGTCTCTGGGACTTAAGGTCCTTAGCTTCCTGATAATTTCTCATCTAATCCAGCACTTCCCCTCTGTTGTGCCTGTTTCTGTGAACAATTCTGAAGAACCATTCCTGTTACCACAACCATTTCATAGTCATGCCATTCAGGAATAATAGAGGCCAAAAGTTCTAGTGGACCCTTGAACTATTTCTGATCCTTCTTCAGATCCCTGAGCACTAGGAGAAATCATGTTCAAAGACAATTGCTGACCACCCAAAATAAGGGTTACTTCAAGTCAACTCAACTTTTTGATTGTATGTTGTATATGATCTTTAATGGAAATAAGGACGCTTAATGCATTTCCCGGTCGCACAGCATAATGTTGTATGTGACCTATAAAGGGAAAAGGACTAATATTTGTTTAGAGCCCATTAATGTGCCAAGAATTGTACATAGATTAGCACTGTTAAGCCTCATAACCGCACCATGAGACTGGTGTCTTATTCCTAACCTGAGGTAGGAAAGGTAATCTACTTGAGTGAATGGAGAAAGGATTTTGATTCGTATCTCTTTCTTTATTATGCTAAGCAGCCTTTTATTAACTTAAAGTTAAAAACAGAGGGTCAACAGTGTCCTTTGCTAACTGACAGCACAATCTTTGTGCTAGTCAAACAAACGTGTGTGTTCTCACACACAAGGCATATCTTGAGTCTTTCAGCTTGTTTTAGCTGCTCTCTGGACCGATTTACATTCTTCCTGTAACACAATATCAAAACTTTTTGACAGAAGACATGTACTAATAAGTCAAGCTTGTCACTGACGTTCACTTGGCTCAAAATTTCACATGAAATTGTCACTGCCATTTTATCTCTGCTTTTTGCTTCATTGGGTTCTAAAATCTTTATGTGGCATATCTTATTTCATTTAAATAGTGAAGACTATAATTTCTAGTTTCTAGTTTCTATAATTTCTAGTCTTTCCTTCTCTCTCTCTCTTTTTAAAGATTATATTGTAAGGAATATCTACATCCAATATTGGGCTTGAACTCACAACCCCAATATCAAGAGTCTCATATTCTACTGACTGAGCCAGCCAGGCACCTCTTTCCTTATTGCTAAAATAATATCTGTATAGAGCAGGCAACTAAAATATTGTTAGTCCAATAATCTTTCTGCACAGGGACTGTTAAATTCTTTTTTTTAAAAGATTTTATTTATTTATTTGACAGACAGAGATCACAAGTAGGCAGAGAGGCAGGCAGAGAGAGAGGAAGGGAAGCAGGCTCACTGCTGAGAAGAGAGCCTGATGCAGGGCTTGATCCTAGGACCCTGAGATCATGACCTAAGCCGAAGGCAGAGGCTTTAACCCACTGAGCCACCCAGGTGCCCCTAAAATTCCAAACTCTATAGTAAACTTGTACATTGCAGGATTATATGGTTTTAAAGATTAATTTGAATATCTTACACAAGACAAGCCTTTAATACTATTGTAACTATCTCTTGATTATACATATTTTACAATTTGATAATTACAGAGAAATGAACTGACACAACGCAAATTAATGTGCAACAGGAGACATTACTTTTCACATGTGCTAAGCAAGTTGTAATTTTGAATTCCTAACACTCGGGATGATAAATTTCATGTGCTAAATGAGTGCCCTAAGTATATCATTAAAGGTCACCCTTTGACAATGCCGTC